GCTGAACCTAGATTCTTAACTGACTATGCTATTCGTTAAGAAAAATGCCCAGCCCTATTTGGCAGTCTGTGAATCTAAAATTAGGTTGTTGTTATCTGCTGGTGGGCTAGTTTCTGCAATATTGCTGAGAAGCCACACGCCCATAAGGAATGCTGAGCACTGATCTCATAGCACTGCTTCTTGGCACGGACTCCTCCTTTGGCTTGTCTCAGCAGAAGACACACCTCTGCTCTCTGCATATCCACTCCTCAACCAGTTTTCACTGAGATACTGGACAAGCCTTCTTATATTACCCCAAAGCTTCCTCTCTCTTTCACAAACACTCCCTCTCACTTTCCAAACTTTAATTCAACTTTCAGTGTGAGTAGATAGCTCATGTCCATCCTTATCCTTCCTAGATCCCCCTTTTCCAAGGCAATTTAATCGACCATGCTGTCTACAGAGGAATGAGAACTGCAGCATTGTCCTAGATTTCCGCAAAGAGCCTCTAAATACCAGCGTACCTTTATTCTGAAAGTGGGAGACATGACTGCAGCCTGTAGAAGCACAGCTGAAGGACCTGTGATCTTTTTTACTTTGGGTAAAAAAGAAATCACAGCATCTTGGACCTGTACGCAGAGAATCTATGTGGCTTCATGAGTATCAGCGTTTGCAGATTCAGACCACAGTCACACTAATAACTGCAGTTCAGACAGGCTCTTAAGCATTTGGGGCCCTCTTCTCCTTATTAAATTATTTCCTATTCCAGGACAAAATAAACCTGAAGCAAGAAAGGGAAGAGCAGCGGAAAAGAACTGTCCCAAGAGTTTGAAATGACCCTGATCTAGGGCAAACCATCAGCAGAACTGCGTATAGGCTATAGCTCTAAAATGTTGTATTATAGTTGAGGTATTCAGAAGTTGGAGAGCTGTTATATATAACAGCACAAATTAGAGGTAGTTTGTGCCTTAGCATAGACCTTTCAGAGGAATAAACACAGGTTTAGGAGCATGTAGGAAAGATTCCCAGAAAGATCCAGACTGAGAGACGGAGCTCATCAAGGTGCAGCACTGAACCCTTGCTCCCAGTTACGCACCACGGCTCTGCCTGGCACGTACCGCAGGCCTGACGAACCAGCCCTAGGAGAAACAGTGCCTCCATTTATCGCTTAAAAAGCAACTTTGCTTCTTACTCATACAATTCCCCTAACTTCACAAATACACCCAAAAGGAAGGGAAGCTGTCGAGAGTGGCATTCAGCATATGCATAAATATACAGGCCAGAAACGACATGTTGGCCAAGCCTTTTCCTCTGGCACTGCTGATTCTTCAGCCTTCCTTCCCCCTTCCCTGCTCACATCATCCTGGGAGGAATGGCAGCAAACACAGTCATATTCCACTGATATTTCTGGCTTGACAAACAGGTGTTGGAACATGTTGGTGGTGCTCACTGGGCTTGGCTTTGGGGGACTGGCAATGTTTCTAACAGCCTGTTTTTTCCAGCTATGAATCATGCAATGGCAGCAGCAAGAGCCCTGCCTTTGCAGCTCAGGCCCGCTCTAGCACTGGATGGTAGGCCCACACAGCGTGACCATTTGAGATCTGTCTGCTACATGACCAGCAGAAACCGCTGGAGGTTAGAGTCTGACTGTCTCAGAGTTTGGCTGTCCTTCTGCCCCACACCCAGGATTTTACACTCTTCACAAGCACCATAACAACAGTCTCCAGAATGAAGCTTTCAGCCAATTTTCTGTGATAGGTACAGAAGGGTGAACCTTTCCGTATGTGAGAGAGAGATGAGTCAGCTTGCTGCTTTCTTTTCCTGTTAAGACAGGAAAAAAGTCTCTTTCATGAATGAAGGCCATCAAGTGGCTGCAACTTCTACCTTTTATATGATGATCAAGGAAATACAGCCTAAACAATATCACCAAAAGCTGGGAGGATGTAGCAGAAAAGAACAATTCACTTACCCTATTTTCTGCAGACGTTTTTTAATCATCTGCTGTAAGCTCTTGCTGAAGGATAGTGCGCTAGGTAAAACTTTGGGCTGACGCAGTACAAAACTTTTATGAGTGCTTAGTGCCTGCTCAGTGACTAGAATATTAAAAGACAAATCAACATGGGTTATACCAGTAACTCAGTATTTCCTAGATGAGCAATGAAATGCTCATTTTCTTGTTTTAAAAATAGCTGGCAGTGATACTTGGCAGAAAAACTGACATCAAGAGATGCAGAGATAGTAGCTGTGAGGAAGAAAAAAAGAACGAGAGACCCGGGACTCACCAACCCAAACCAAAAGAAGTCATATCAACAAACTAGTATCAGGAAAAACGCTCACATGTCTCCAAACTAACCCTACCTCTGTTGCTCCCACCTTCTGCCCAGTCACACCTTTCTCGTAACTATATTTGTCCATGTTTTGACATTCAAACAGCTCATGGTCAGGATCAGGGACAGCAGACATGGCTTCTCAGGCCTCACAAGGCTGCAGTAGGGCCACATCCTAGTCCACCTGCTCAAACTATACTGCCAGGCAGAAAATAGTGCAAGATTCATGGGGCCAGAGAGAATTAGCAAGGTGTCTGATTCTAGAGCACCAATGACAAGGCTCCTGTGGAAGAAAGTAGCTCTCCTCACTGTTCCAAGGACTAGAAACTGAAACAAGGACTAGAAATAGAAATTCTGCTCTTTGGTAAAATTTGAGTTTAGGCTTCAAGGGCCATCAGAGCTCAAAACATGTTTAAAAGCATTTTGGCCTTATCTTCTACTTTTTGTGAACCTTAACTGCAGTAAATCTCAAAGAGCTGAGTTCTAGATTCATTGGTGTTTTCAGATGTTAACGTTTGCCTACCATTATTTTCCCCATGAAAGAGAGTGACAAACCAATATGGAGCACTTTTGAAATTTTCCTTATCAAAATGTTACTGGGGAACATGTTTTCTTAAAGTATGTTTTTATACTGTTGGAAACCACCATCACAGATGAAGTTACAATAGCAAAATGTGCTTTGGTTAGCATGGCTTACTTGGGAATTGGTATCAGCTACAGCAATAAGCTACAACAATTCCTTCTACTGCTACAGAGACAAATCCATTTGCCTTGTAATGAAACACTTTGCAGCTGATCCCATAGCTCTCCCTCCTTCCTAGTTTTAGTGGGAACAGTAACGTTATCTGCCACTTGAGTAAAGCTTAGAGATCTGAACTCAGCAGGTGAGGGGGAAAAATTGATAATCAAAATACTTTCCATGGCCTGAGAACCCTCAGCTATTAGCATATCCAGATTTTGGAAAAAATTGAACGTTTTTCACCCAGTGCGTTAAGTCCCAAGCTGCACTGCAGTGAGCAGTATTTCTTGAGGTTTTAGGATCCAAAAGCAGCATTCTAATGTGTGAGAGTCATTTGGGAGTCAGGAGCAGGGCCTATGATTTTAGGACCAAACAAAAATCTCTCTTCTGGCAGCACTGAGGGATACCTGTGGATCTCTGGAGGTGGCTGTGAGCTTAGTCTCTGGCTATATATCACTGCAGCTCTCTTTTAGAATAGCTTCTCAAAAAGCCCCAGAAGAGTCCCTTTCCCCTAGACAATATACCAGAGGCGTGCTGTCCCCCACAGCCTCCTCTTGCAAAGAGGACTTGAACATTAG